TTTCATTGCACCATATGAATTTAGAGTTCAGCAAAGGACAACATGCTGTTATAATTAAAGGTCTGCCTTCATATCCATGCACATCTCTTTGTAACTCAGTTATACAAATGAATTCACTTTGGACTGAAACTCTTCTGACTTCCCTCCCACAAAAAAAGATTGCCTTTGCAAATATTCTCAGATATAAGAATGGAAAATGATCTTTTAATACTGACTTATGAATAGAGCCGCCCAACCTGCCCACTTGCTGAGAAATTTTTGTCATGCTAGCACGTGAAAAAAAACAGAATATCTAGAAAAATAGGGGATATATGCAGGAATGGATGGCTATTTTATGCTCTAGAGCAGTGTTTTTCAACCTTTGCAACTTTAAGATGTGTGGACTTCAACTCCCAGAATTCCCCTGCCAGCATATTGAAGCCCACACATCTTGTTGCCAACCCTGCTCTAGGGCCTGGGGGTTCGGAGACAGATGGCCCATTGAGAGGTTTCTGTCTGTTCTCTTCTTGGTTCACCCTTGGTGACCATTGTTAGTTTTTTTATTCCATGAATATTTTTTTATTGTTTTAATGTGCTTTAATGTGTTGTTAGCTGCCCAGAGTTACATTCGCAAGATGGATGACCATATAAATTGATTGATTAATTGATTGATTAAATAAATATTTTAGCACATCCAGAAACGTGTTTTATATGTGGTTCTTTTTTGTGTTATAAAGGTCTGCCTTCATATCCATTTGTTTTCCATTTAAAATGGGTCCTGCCAACTTTGAAGGGAATCCAAAGATCTGTCTAGCCGACACAGAAAGATGGCAGGAAATTGATTGTACCAGTTGTCCATCTAGTTCCTTATTGCCTGCATTTGACAGGCAGTAACTTTCTATCCCAACCTGCTGGTGTCAGATATTGACCTTAAGGGCAAGCGTGAATTCTCCAAGCCCCCCTTGATCACTATGGTTTTGGTAAATCAGAAGCAGCATTCATTTAATCCAGCCAAAAGTGACCTGCCAGGATATCTAGAGCCTATGGCAGAATGGTTAAGCTGTTGGGCTAGATCTGGATAGATCCAGGTTCCAGCCTACCCTCAGTCACAGAAGCTCACTGGGTGACTTTCAGCCAATCACTTTATCTCAGTCCAGCCTGCCTCACGGGGCTGTGGGTGGGATAAAATAGAAATCCTCACATAAGACACCTGGATCTACTAGACAAAGAGCAGTTTATAAATCTAGAATTAAAATAAATTATCTACAAAGAAGCTTACAAACAGAAGTGACTGATGTCATCATCTGTGAGCTCTCTCAACAAACATCTCATGACTAATATATGCTACTTCTCATTCCACACTAATTGTGTTAGCAACAAATATGCCAGGCATTCTGGTATAACTCATGAAAGGAAGTGAAGAAAGGCTAGTCTGAGCACTGCCATTCTGGGGGAGAGGGACTTCCTTGCCTTGGCTTTCCCACTGCCTTCTGGTGCTTCATCCCAAAGCTTCCTCTGAGAATTAGGGGCTCTTCAGAAATATTGGGCTGAGGGTCTGCAAGTAAATGAGCAGAAATTGTGACTCTCCCTTGATTCTAAGGCCGTGCATGCTTCAAAAATGATTCAGGAGGAGTGCTTCAGCTTCTTCATTAGCCTGAAAAAAGCTGCTGCTGCTTTAAAGAATCCACTCATTAAAGTGAATTGTGACTCTTAGAGCAGCAGCAGGACCTTTTTGTCAGGCTCACCGGGAAGCTGAGAAGAGCAGGCTTTCACGAACAGCAAAGAGGTGCTGCAGTCCTGAACTATTCTTGAAATGTGCAAAGCCCTACTAGATACGACTCCTAGATTTCGGTGGGCTGGCCACATACCTGTACTTATTCACAAAATGGGTCAAACTAAACTCTTTAAAGAAACTATTATTATTTGGTCTCAACAAATGGTAATGAAATGCACCTACTTGGCTACTGCACCTGCCCTGAGGTTTGTATGGCCCCAACCCTGTTCTGCTTTCAAAACAAACGCTGTTAAAAACCTGGTTTTTTTGATAGGCCCAAGGACAGACTGGAGCGATCTGATAGTAGTTGATGAAGAATATGTTTGTATTATCTGTTCAATGTGAGCCATATATCCTTCTGTGGATTTCGTTATCTTTAGTTATTACTTTTACTTGAAGTTTTAATCCTATTGTGTAAGCTACCTAGAATCACTTTGTGATCTGAGGTAGCATACAGATTGACAAATAAATAAATATAAAAAATAGGGGGGCACAACAAAACTACAGATCTTTCCCAATACCTCTCCACAAAGAATTAAAATGGAAGACAATGAAAATATTTTAGTGTAAGCTCCTCAGCTCAGTTCTATATCCCATCACATCTCACAAACATGACACCTAGTATTTATACAGTATGTTAGTCATAGCCTCCTTTGTGGCCATCTGAAAAATGAACTACCACGACTACTATAAATCATAATTCTTCTCCTCCTCAGCAGCAGCAACTACCTATCTTCTAAAGCAAACCCTCCTTGTGAGAATGGGGTTCTTATATCACTTACAATAACCAGTCCGGGGGGCTTCTCCCTGGATTCTGCTGGAGTGGAATAGAGTTTGCGCCAAGAGTTTAAGCAGTCTATACCTACAAGTTGTTCTTTCTGCTGTCCTCTCTTAAGTGCTGCTTACTCTCTCCTAAAGGTGGCTTCAGCTTCATGCCAACAGTTCTCCACACACCTCTGGGTGAGAGTTTTATAGTGTTTACCCTCTGTCATTAACCGCTTATGGGTGCTTATACAAGAAGTCTCTTAAATGCTTCCAAATAAGATATCCCATCTCTGAAAGGACTTTTAAGAGCCTGCCTTGTCGTTTATAGCGGTAGTTAGATATTACCTTCTTTCTTTTCTTGACTCCCCCCAACACTTTTCGTGTCACGAATGCTCTGTCCATCTCTTCAACATGAGGAAGAGAGGGGAAAGTGGAACACAAGCACTGGTTAGACTCTGCATCTCCAATTTCTGTACTGTCTTTAAATTATTAGGAACACTGCTAGAATTTCTTCCCAAACATACTGAAGCGTTTACAGTATAAACAAAGAAGCCGGTGTCCAAAACAGCTAAGTATTCAAAGCAGCTGAACCTTGTACGTATTTAAAATGGCTGGGCACGGAATGGTTGATTTGATGCAGCTTTGACCACTCGCTCCTCTGAAGTGCCTCCTGAACTGAACCTGCTTCCTTCACTTCTAACAATCAAGCAGCCACTTTCTTTTGCTTTTTCAGTCTTCTTCTGCAGAACTTCCCTATGACAGAGGGTGGAGTGGAGATTTTCCCTGCAGTCCTGGCTGAATGGGCCTCCTAGGCTGATGGCTCCAGCCTTCCCAAATTCCTCCTGCATCAGCTGGCCAAAGCTTCTAGTCAGCACATCCTGGGTGATGACACCCACTTTTCCCCTCCATCCCCAATTTAGCAGGAGTTTTGGACAGTGGGCGCTAGAAGGGGTGAAGGTTGTTTTGGGCTGTGCTGTACCTTGCTACCTTCCTTCTGATTAGATGGGGCTGCTTAGCTTCTGTTATACATGTATCTGGCAGGAGATGGATGCTTGTGGGGTTTTTTCCCCCCATTGTTGTCCCATGTAGCTCATAGACTCCTGGTCTCTCCTCATTGGTGTCCATATGTGAAGTTGCTGCAGCTATCATAGGATGGAGTAATCTTCTCAGACTAGGTCGGTAGCCTGCAACTTTGTCTAGGGTTTATAATTTGAATACTTCCTTACTTATGCTTTGGGGCACAGCAGCTGGATCTCTGTTTGAGGGTTGTTTGTTGACATTTGGGAGCACGTGTGAGTCTATTTTATTTCCCACTTTCTTGCTTGCAGGAAGTGTGTCTGCAAGGATCCTGCCTGGAGGAGATGGCTTAGTTCCCTTGCAGACGATAGGTACTGGGGAGCCTTGTGCATTGGTTGGAAGGACTCCACTATTGCTTTTCAAAATGTTTATGGGGACTTTTTCAACCATTTTTCTCCCCAGGTCTTCTTCTTAGCCAGACTAAGGTGACTGAGTTTAAGTATCCCCATGGCATAGCTGATAGGGTGAATTTAGCGTAACTTTGTTCTTAACTTAGTTTAAGTCAACTGTAACCCTATTACGTTAGTTAACTGGGTCAGTTAACCAACCTTTTTGGCATTCCTGCAGCATGCTTAGCCCCTCCACCCCCCCCACCAGAAATGACCCAGTTATGGAAATAGGGCCATTGTATTGTTGTCATAAATATTACTTTTACCAAGTTAGCCTCATTTAGTTGTTTTTGGATTTCAATTTCCATCAACCCAGCCACCCTGCTTGATAGCATGGGATTGAGGGAATTCTAGTCCAGACCATGTGGAAGGTACCAGGTTGCCATCCTTCTGCTAACATTACACCACGTTTTTCATATCAGGTTCATCTACTTCATGCACAGCAACATCAGGCAGTCAATCTGTGCAGGAGAGTTAACTGATCTAATTCTCCCCTCTGAGGATCACTGAAGCAGCTCCCAATTTTTTTCTCAGGTAACAGGAAAAAGTACTCCAAGCACTGTGATTGTAAGATTGAGGTGAGGGACAATCCTATAAGTCATCTCTGAAAGCAGCTTTAGAGCCTTCAGAGCAGAGTAAAAATGTTTCAACCAATATACGGTATGTGTGAAGATGCACAACACCCATAGTAAAGACTAAGAATCATTGTTGAACTATCCAATGTCGAACTAACCTGTATGACTTTAGGACTGCAATTTCTTTTAAAACATTCTTCAATTGTGGTTTTTACCACCTTTCAGCCAAATTGAACAATATCATGAGATAATGCAGCAATAAGGTGGCAATTTTATAGCTATGTTTAAAACTCAATATTTAAAACAGTGGCAATATTAAAACTGCAAGATTAGTAGATGTATTTGATGAACTCACTTCTATACTTCAAGTAATGGCTAAAATTGTGCATACAGTTGGAAAAGAATGCTTCAAACATTTTAGTATTTAAAAATATCATTTACTGTATTTTTTGTTTGTCTAATAGATATTTTCCCATTCATTTGCCCTTGTTCCAGAAATGGAGAGCACTGTGATCAACAAACCAGACATCACACACACACACATATTCTGTCAGTTATCGAAGTATCTAAAATAAAACCAGAAGTACAACAAATCCTGGAAAAAAAAACATGAGAAGAAATGGACACTGACTAAATATACCAAGCCACATTGGATTGCTGATGGAGCTGACTGCTCCTTTTGTTTCAAGTTGTATCTAGGGCAGCTTCAGATGTATTGGGACTATACCAGCCAGAATTCTCCACTATCAGGGCCAATTAGAATTCAGGTTGTTGTAGTCCCCATCTGAAGGGTGCCAGGTTAGAAAAGACTGCCCTAGGGTTTTATCCCTTCCTGGAGCTCACACATGTAGCAGAGGTATTCACTGTTGAACTACAAAACCATGAAAATATGTATAACTGTCCTGAGGATTTTGACAAATAATGAAGGACAATCTTTTGACAACACAAATTCTCCATCCTCAGCTACTGTTGACATAAGACAGAGGAAGAAGTGGAAGGCAGAATTAATGCCAAGAATTCTTTCTTAACCTTATACAACCAACACTGTAGTGTCTTAGCTTCCTACCTAACAAATATAAGGCGCATTAGAGCAACTGGAAAAGATGGAAGCTGGAGTGACACTTAATTCCTGCTATCTTCTCTGCCCCATCGACAAGCATCAGAATCAGAGTGGGCAAGTACTCACAAGGAAAAATGGTGGTAAAGAATGTATCGGTATTGTGTTCTCCCTGAAGCTCCTTTGTGCTAATACAGCAATAATGTGAGTTAACATTCAGCTAATGGGTTGGCACCAATGTGGTAATAGGAGAAAAATGGCCTGTTTCCTGAGTTTTTCCTCCCAAACAAATATAAACAAACACTGTAGAAATAAACTTTATACTAAGCTCAGGATGTGACCATTTCTCCAAGGACAGTGCTAAGCTTCACAGGACAGCTATGTAGGCGTCTTCACTGTTTAATTTTAACAAATCATTTGGATATAATTGGCTGATTCAAAATGGGAATATCCTCTTCAAAGAGGGAGGGAGAGAAAAGGGGGCTTACTAAGCCAAGCTCAATAAACTTGGAAAGAATAAGCAAGTTATCTTTGTGCCAACGTGATGGGAACTAAAGTCTGGATGTTGATTGTAACTGGAGTCAAACTTGTATACACTTCCAACATATTTGTCTTATATTTGAATATGAATACATCATGACAGGTTATAGAGTAGCCAATGGCCAGAAGACTTCATTCAAGTCCATACTGAACTACTGTGAGACTGTCTTACATAGCTACGGTTTGAGCCCATCTTTAAATAATTTGCTTGTAAAAGGAAAAGAAGGACACTCAATCTATATGTACTCAGAAGTAGCAAAAAAGAGTAACTACCATGGGAATAAATAATACAGTTTTGAGGCTTGAACATTCCTGGTGCAATGGTGACTCCACAATTCAAGTAGTCTGCGCATACCAAGAGTAGTTCTGCAAAGCTAGTCAGAGAAAGAAGAGAGACGCCTTGAGCTTTCGGCCTTGGATTTGTGTACCTTGTGCATGCTGCCTCCTCCATGGTATAAGAATGAAATTAGATAGCTGAGAAAAATAAGGGAGGGGATGATGAGAAAAACAGTCTCTTCTGCTGGCAATTTATTTACTGTGCCCACTTAAGAACATAACCCCATCAGTGGATCAAAGCCATTCTGTTGCCAGAATTGGATTTTTTCAATGTTAGTTCTGTTGCTTGTCCCAGGCAGACTGACAGTGTCCTTAAAGTTGAAAAGGGTACTGCTTCAAATAGTCCTTCATTCTCTTTGGTAGAGGCAACTGGTCTGTCTTTCCAGTGCATCGACTGATCTGTAGCCGGCAGAGGTGCTGCAGGCTGGGGGCAATGTCCTTGCGGCCAAGCGGCCGGATGAGCTTCAGATGTACTGCTGATGCTATCATCTCCTTTTGTGGGGGAGGTAAAGGCACGGGAGGTGGGTAAGGAGCATCACTCTTACTCTCCACAGTACAAGAAAGAACATAATGCTGGATAAGACTAACCACATCTGGAAAGGCCAAAACCCGAGGTTTGGAGAGGCAATTGGAATCTAACTGGAACTTGCTATCAGCATATTCAATGCGCACGTTGGTAGGGCCTCGGTTGGTCTTGACTGACAGTGTGAACAGGTAGCTGGGGTGAGCACTGTCCCGCACCAGAAAAGTCCCCTCTGGCATCTTCTGGAGCTGCTGCTTGGCTTCACTGGCTGTAATAGAACCCCAATACCAGCCTGGAAGAGAGTCCCAGAGAAGACATGGGTAAGAAGGGCAAACTGTCCACTTAAAAAACAGGAAAAGAAACATTTATTGATTCACTTTCTGTTTCACTGGGGTGTATGCATGTGTGTGTGTGTCTATTTAGTGAGTGCACGTGGCATTTATAGTGCCCTCCCTCTCCAAGTAGTACTTGTTACCCACTATCATAATGGGAAGTATCACAGATATGTGAAAAGGCATTTATGAAATCAGCTTTGGGATTATATATTCAGGGAGCTGTGGAAGTGGGGCTTGCTTGCAGACAAAGAGCTATGGGATTGCAGTCATAGACAATTGCCACTAGCCACACGGGGGAGTCATTTTGCCTTTTGGAATTCTGCTCTTTAAAGTCCAGGCTGCCCTAAAGGAGATATATATTCTCTCATCAGCAGCAAGGAAGTGAGCCCCTTAACAATATACTATAGGTTCTTTTTCCAAGGATCAAAAGTACTGATTGGATCCTTACCAGATTCTCGCAGGAACGAAAATGTTCTGGCAATGCACAGCAGATCCTCCTCTGGGTCTCGTGTCTGCGGTGGGTTGCTTTCAAGCCTGGGCATTACCGAGGGAGGGGCGGCTTGTTCTTGGAAGGATGTGACTGTCAAAGGCTGCATGACCTGCTCTGACACATTCACTGCAAGGCCTTCAACCGATAGCCTCCTGAGCTTTTCCTCTGCTAGCAAAGGATAGGATCTGAAAAGAAAGGCATTTTGGATTATTTGAACACAGCATCGCTACTTTTGAGAACACATACATTGGATTGTGCAGTTCAGCGTACATTATAGTTCACTTCCACAAACAAGGCAATCATATTCATGGCAGTCACCCATTTAATTCAAAGCAAGGAAGATAACTGGAGTCAGGATTCTTTGCTCTTTTAATCCTTAAGTAAGGTCTTCACTTATCAGTCCTTTTTTTAAAAAAGTGAGACAGTGTTTTAGTGTTTTTCAACAGGTAAAATTTGGATAAAATTTAAAAATTAATCTTGATGCTTTGCAAGTACTACAAACAGATAAAGAAAAACCACAGTGCAGATTCTTGAAGAACACTCCACCCTTCCAGTGATTTTTTTTTGTACTTTGTTTCCTACATTTTAAAGCTACTAATCTTTAAAATAACACCTTATCTAAATCAGTAAATGCATTATTCACAATAACAAATGTAGGAGAAACTGTGAACCAGCCATGAAGTCAAAAAATATCTCTATGGCAAATTCTCACTGTATATTTAACATTATTCTGGTCTCCCTCTGTGCAGGCTTATGCATATTTCCTCCAAAGGATGTTCCACTTGGGTCGATGGAACTTTCCACTGCATCTTTAATGATGTCACTAGCTTCTTTGCAATTTTAAGATAATCCCCCAAATTTAAATTGGTAAGGAAATATTGTGACAGATATACTGATGTTTGGAAGGATTCCCTCCAAAAACTGGTATTAAAGGAAATGTAACTATTTAACAGAATATAAAGGTATGGCAGATAGAAATTGAAGGTAGAACTTGTCTCTTGGGGTGATCCAATTTATAGGCCATTTATATAGGACTCCTTTGTGCCCTGATAGCCCTGTGGTGGCTCTAACTACATGAACAGCCTGTCTCCTGTACCCCTCCAATCCAGGTGACCGCTATCAATCCTCAATAATGACACTAAACTCTACAGTATAGAGTTGCCAGGAAGCAAATGTTAGACAGTATCATTTCTCTCTCTTTGCTGCTGAACACCTGACAATCTGGTTTCAGGGAGACACAATACAACATGGTGACTTTTAAGCAGCCACTTAAGCATTACATGTTGTTTGAAACTGCCTAGTGTTTTAAACAAGCATTTCTTATGCTATGCCAACCTGTGACTTTGTCTAAGTCATAACAGGATATTTTTGGAGACTAGGAGTTTCAAAGATTTTCGTACAGTTATATTTTTTTGCCACACTGACATTGGTGCTTTGTCTCCTACCTGTTAAATACATTAACAGCTGTTTCCAACTGCTCACAGGACTGTGGACTCATCAGGAAATATTGCATTACTAGGAATCTGATCATTCACCACCAGTTTACTTATCATTCAACCTTGCAAACTTAACAGGCCCCACAGGCAACAAAGGAGAAAGCATTACACCTTTCTGCTTTAATTGCATAGCTTCTCCTTTGAATGGTTAAAATAGTACCCCAGTATTGACTGCATGCAGCATGAGCGTGTTGCCAATGAAAACAGGGGCTAAGGTTAAATCCCTATTCCATGCCTATCTTCTTCTCCCTCCCTCTATTTAGCCTTTTCTTTCCTCTGAAATTATTCCAACTTAATACCCAAGTTTAACTATGAGTCAAGGAAAAGCAGGCATAAAATAAAACCATCCATGAAAAACTGGAAACTCTCTTATTAAAACATTAAATGTTACCACTTTCCAAGCTCTAAGCATTTTACACCTCCCTAAAATGGAAATGTATGAGAACTCAAAAATAACTTCTAGAAAACACTCGCTAGTGTCTAGCAAGGAAGGAGATGCAATGACAAATATGATTAAAAATCAACCCCTAGATATTAAAAGTCTGGAGTAATTAAAATGCTACACTGAAGTTCCACAGACTTGATATAGATTCTTTCCATGCAAAGAACAGTATCTGTACTCAGCATCCCAATTGGGTTAAATGAAATAGTTTCTCCCTGCTGCTGCTGACTGTAGGAAATATCTACATTGCCCTGAGCAACTAGGTTTTTATATACATATATATGTCTTGCGTACTAGATTAGCTCTCTAAAGTGGGTGTGATACACAACTGAGAAAACAAGACATAACACTGTTTTTTTTTGTTTCTTGCATACTTGCAAATGACTGAACAATATATATGGTAAGAAAGAAAGTTCAGGTTCCTGACTCTTTCTTCAGGAAAACTATCACTGATCCTCAAATAACCCTGCAAAGGATAGCCCATGAAGATCACTGCTGCTATCCTTAGGATATTTGGGAATCTGGGGTCTCTGACATTATTTTGGTGCTTGGAACTATGTCGTTTTTTTGAGAAGACGTGTTTTTACCTGAGACTTTACACCTTGCCCTTTTGTCCTCATCTGTTAATCCTCTACAACTCTTGGGTCTATTTTAGATTTCTTGACTTCCTTTTTTACTTATTATAGGGAAGAAACCAGTCTCCATTTACTGCTGACACTCTGTAAACCTATATCAACACTTAAAGCTATAAAAGTTACAAAGATGCATATTTCAGTGAAAGCTTCCTTCATTTCCCTAACATCTAATATTTTAGGAACAGAGGAAAGGAACCAGAAGGCTCCTGAATCTGCTCTTATCAGTGGCTTTTCAGTCCCATTTGCCCCCCGTCCACAAGGCATCCTCACGTGCACCATATAAAGTCGCTGTTCTTTCTATCACTACTGCCACTTTGCAGATGAATGTTTGTACTCACGAACATGTGGACAATGAAGTAATTTTACTCTCTCACTCTCACAATTAATGAGGCAAGCAGTGTGGTTGGCACTGGCAATCTCAGGGCTTCCTTGCCAAGAGGAGAAGAGGGCACATGCCATTGTAAACCATTTTATTTTCTTGAGTGAATAAATACTTGGCAGAAGATTTTTTGAGCAAGAGGCCTTCTGGATAACTAGTGAGAGCAAAGAGCCCCTTGTTTGCTCATGTAACTGTCACATAAGGGGGCTAAAACCAAACTAGTTACAAGTTTATTTTAATTATTGTTTTGGGGGGAAGGGCTTAAAGGAGATGTTTCTTGTTTGTTTCGTTTTCAGGGTTTTGATCTGTATGCTGCAAGGCAATGGTACTTTTAAGTTCTTCTCTGCATGAAATCACTGTGGGAGGACCCCTTAGGGCAGTCCTGTCCAAACTTGGCCATTTTAAGATGAGTGGACTTCAACTTCCCCAGCCAGGGGAATTCTGGGAGTTGAAGTCCACTCATCTTAAAGTGGCCAAGTTTGGACAACACTGCCTTAGGGGTTCAACAGCTCCACAGTTTATTGGGGGAGAGGGTTGGTTCCCTGATGAGAGCAAGGAAGAGAAGGGGAAATAGCAGGTTTGGTCTTCATTAAATGGAGGGACAAATCAAGATGTGACAGGGAAAATGTATAGGTGAGAATGAGCAGAAACATCCACCGGGAATATGAAAGAGACCGCTGAGTTGTAGGTTAGGAAACATCCATAGAGTAAGTGCAGCAGTATGATACAATGGCTCCCAATGCCATACAGAGCTTCAGGGCAAACTGCTGAATAACAAACGGAACTGTCAACTTGAAGATTGACAGAACCAGAAAAGCGTGTGCATCACGGTGAAAAAGGGAGTCTGCTGCAGTTGGCAAAGTTGGCCTTAAGACCTTCAAGTTCGAATCCCTGTGCAGCCAGGAAGCTCACTGGAGGCTACTAGGCCATTTTCATTTCCACTGAAATGAAAAGAGGGTGCAATGTGTCCAAAGTGATAAGTCAGCTCAGGAAGCAAGTGAATGGTGAAGCAAGAGAGGGACATGCAGAAATCAGATATCTCCTTCTACTAACTTATCTATTATCACAGTCAAAATGCAGCTTTACAGTACACGCTTAAGTAAGCCTGACTTAATTCAGCAGAGTTTCCTGGGTAGTGTGTATAAGTCTATACCAGTGTTTCTCAGACTTGAAGTCCACACATCTTAAAGTTCTCAAGATTGAGAAACACTGGTCTATACAGTAGCTTTAATCCAGCATTCATTCAGAAGCAGATATAATATAAAAAGTTGTAACATGGACTCCAAACATAAAAATGAAAAGAATGTCATTGTAGTAGGTCTAACATGATAATAAAACAAAAGCCCAAAGGAGGAGGCAGAAAACTCCAATTCTTGCAACAGTTTAGAGATTTTAAATAATATCTTATTTAGAACAGTTTTAAATGGCCAACAGCGCCTATAGGACATGCTTAGTAATTTCTCAGGCCTGCTCATATAAGGTTCAGCAAAACAATATAATTATTATAATTGTTATAATAATTATTATTTATAAATGACCTGGAGCAAATGTTAGGCTGGGTAAAACGTAGATAACACAGGATTCATTATTAGAAAGTTGTGTAATAATAAGAGCAGAACCTGAAAAAGATTAAACTGAAGGGGGAAAAAAAGACCCAATTAGTCCAATGTATATTACCCTAAGGGTAGCATGTCTGTACTCACTCATTTACAAGTCAATTCCAATGGAATTCAATGGTTCTGACTTCTGAATAGTCACACACACAGACAAACATGCCACGCCATTGCCTGGCATCAAATGTATATAGGTAGATGGTTGACCTCTCTCACCCATATGCACATTCGTTTAGCTATTATCCACTGTCATAATCTGTGTAGGTGTATTCTATCAGATTCGACAACTTAATTGGCTGGCATTTCAAATCAGATGCCTCTACTATTCAAAGCAAAGTGCTCTGACCCAATTCAGATCTGGAATTCTCCTTTTCTTGAGGGTTGCCCCACCTTCTTTTCAGCTCAGTTGGATTTAAAGACGTTTCACTTTAGCAGAGGTACAGCACGGAATGTGGTGGAGTCTCTAGCTAGCCATTTCTGTGCTTTGCTTTAGATGAAAATGCACACAAAAACATGAAGACTCTCAACAGGTAAAAAAATGACCGTCAGGGCCACTGATTTTGAATGGAAGCCCATCATTTTACAGAAACGGGCCTGAGAATCCATCTGCTACCCTTTTCTTGGCCCACTGAGGCTATGCTCCTAAAATCCTCGGGAGCTGGAGGAAACCGTCACTGAAAGCAGAACTGACTTCGGAGCAAGCTCGCAGAGGATTGCGCGCTGTTTTAAAACAGGAGCTGCCTGTAACGAAACTTACCCCGGAACGCAGAGGATCATGTCACTCCAGGACCAAGGAAAGAGCATCAAGTCTTCAGACGACCGGGGGAAAGCCCTGCCTTCTCTCTGCTCCCGAACAGAAGGCTGCCACAATCGAAGTGTCCCTTCTGAAAAGCGCCTCGGGGATCGCCCGCAGAAAATAAACTCCAGGTAGCTCCAGAGAAGTCTTTCCCGCAGCAAGTTACGAGCAGAAAAATGTGCGGGATCGCGGCTCTTTTCCAATGAACTCCGGCTGAGTTTAAAATACGGCAATAACACTTTAAAATTATTCAAACAAACCCCCTTCTCGGTGGCGGTGAAAGTCGCCGCGAATAAAAACGGGAATAAAAAATAATAAATATCTCTCTGAATAAATAACCTCT